TTTAATCAAATTATAAAACAGCATCAAAAAACATTTGCGCAAAGATTTAAAGTTGAATTTAAATCATCGATGAAGGGAACAACAAAAAAGCTTCGAATCCACTGCAAGATCGGCAACTTACCTTCGAACAAGTCTTCAAAGATTGCGATTATTCGAGCTAATAGATGAAGTTTATTAGCTATGATAAAGCTAACAGACTCGAAACGCACATCAGTGTTGATCCGTTTAACTCGAGTCTGTTGGTTTGAGAAGAGCTAATCTTGAAAAGAAGAGTAAATGTTATTTGAAAATAAAACGAGTTTCAATCTAGTTTTTCTGTGAATCAAATCATTTTGATTACATTCATTGATTGATAATTTCGAGGTGGAACGATTCGTCTAGTGCAAAACTAACCTCAAGTTGATTCAACCAAAGTTTTCGAAGCAAATCAGTTGAATCAGTTTCTCTGGTAACTACAAAGAAACTGGTGCAACTTTGTTTTTCCCTCAACCCAGTGTTTGGGTTGAAAGGGACGACTCAACAGGCAAGTTGTCCGTCTTGTTGGTAAGGCATCAACAGTCGTTTTATTGAACCTCGGTTGAACCATTAACTTGAATGAGCTTCATTTGACGTTTTAAATCAATAAAGTGTATGAAGAGAAGAGAGAAAAGTTTAAAAGGTTTCAATAAAAAGGAGAAAAGTAAAGTAGGAAAATGGTTAAAGCGATAATAGATGAAAAGGTAGATGTACATAAAAGAAGATAAAAGGGCGGAAAAGAACAGGTAAAAGATGTACAATGTAGAGAAACAATCAAAGAGTATTTTTCGTTGGGCTCAGTTTTGTGCTCTTTTCTGGTGTTCAACCTAAAGATTGAATGCTTATGGATCATGAATTTTACCTCTAATTCTCATTTTTTTCAGTAAATACTTGCAAAGAGCTTACAGTTTGCACTGAAATTGAGACTGGGTCACGATTCTGTCTAAAATCATGGGCCATGATCGATGACCATGTTTTCATGTTTCTCTTCAAACTCACACACAAACTGTATACAGCTTTATAATCATAATTATAATAACAAGAGAAGAAGAAGAAAACAAGTAATTTGAAAGACTGGGCAACAATATTGAAAAGAGCCTAATGAAGAGAGCAAAAGAAACAAAACAAAAATGGCAACTTTGAACAGGTAATGGCCTGGAAAAGGTGTTAAACTAGAAAAACAATCTTTTCAATAATCTTTCATTTCTCTCATCAAACGCGTTCGAACTGGACTTGAGCAAAACTTGAACCAAAAGGAAAACTAAAAAATTGGAAAAAAACTCAAGACTCATGAAAAAAGTGTTTTCTCTCTGAAGAAACGGCTCCAATGAAATTGACCGTAACTTGACTTTCATTTGACATGTTGAAATGGAGTAAACAAGTCAGGTTAAATGTTTTTCTTGTTGTTGTCGTTGATGGTTATAATGATGATGATGGTGTTGAAATTTGTACAGGAAATTTGGTTTGCTTCATTTTGCCTTCAAGTTTTGCAGCAACTTTTGTAAACAGTGAAAGTAATAGGCAAGCAAAAAAGGAGGAAACAGAAACGCACAGAATTGTTTTTCAACTATTTTTTTCTTCATCTTCTTGAATAACAAGAGTCAATTGAGAAACTGGAAAAGTTGAAGTGAAAAAAAGAGCAAAGGCAAGAGGGCAAATAAAGTTGATTGAACATCTTTTATTTTACCCCAGATTACAGATTGTTGGCCCACATAGTCAATTAGATGAAAACTTTTCCCTCTAATATTCACTTTGAAGAAGCAAAAAATTGGTGAAAATGAAAACTGATGGCAATGATGGCAAGGATGAGCAAAAAGATGATCAAAAAGATGATCAAGAAGTTTTGCTTTTCTGTTCAACTTTACTTGAGGCATTTCGGGCCATCATTTCATTTTCTAGAAACTTTCATTTTCGCATAATAATGATAATTTTGTATTTTCAATCTTAATTAAGATGAACCAATTTGCTTGAAAAGTCACAGCTTTAACCAAACTCGCCAATTTCGTGCTGCAATTGACTTTCACTTGGAACGAAACTTTTCAAAAATTCAATGAGAAACTTTTTTCTCTTTTCTCAATTTCTTTGCAAATATTCAATGGTCTTTGAATTAATCAACTAAATATGATGAAAGGTGAGCAAATGGTTATTGTTGTTTCATTGAAATTTGTTGATCCACAATTTTGGTGGAAAAAAGTGCGAAAAGAAGAAAAAATTTCTTCTTCAAATCAACAATGGAATATTAAAATGATGGAGAAAAAAAAAGTCTTTTCATTTTACTTTATTATTCTTTAGGTAGTAATAGAGGCTTTCAGGTTTACAGGTAGTAGTTGCTGTTGTAAAGCCATTTTTAGGCACAACTTTCAAGGTAATCTCACAAACGTGCATTTAATTGAACCTTTTCAACTGGACAAGGTTCTTATTTTAAATTTTCATGGCTTTAAAAGCGGCCAAAAGTTGAGAAACAAAAATGATCGCTAGGATTAGTTGCAATGGTTGGAACAAGCTTACGTTTCAACTTTTCATTCACAATTGTTGTGCTTCAATTCATAACCATTTTTACAACTTTCATCTTCTTGTTTCATTTCAAGAAACTTTTCTCCTCTTTACAAATTCACCAGATTCAAGTCTAACTATCATTATGATTATAACTTGATAATTATGGATCGAGTGAACAAAGTTAATTAATGGGAAAACTATCTGTTCCACATATAATTATTATTAGGAGAGAGAAGAAAATTCTGGTTTCAATTTTCTTCTTTTCCACCATTTTCTTCTATTTTTTCATGGTTACACTTTTCAGTATCGACATGAGTTGAGTATCATTTTGAGTAGACTTGAGTTGGTGAGTTGAAAGACTTGAGTTTTGTTCAGAGAAGCTTTTGGTTTGGGAAAATCAAACTTTGCAAATGTGTAAACAGCCAACGAATCGTTGGTTGAAAAGTTGATGAAATGTCGAGTTAAAAATAAGTTGAAGTTGATTTGGTTGATGTTTATTGAAATGAACATTTTCTGATAATCAATGAACCATCAAGTTGAAGAGCAAAGGAATTAATCTGATTTTGATTTATCCTGAAATCTTTTTTCATCCTTTTCTATTCTTCAGTAAATAAGCTTTGTGATTTACTCGGAATTTGTTTCATTAGTACTTTACTTTTTTCGCAAATAAAACAATTGCTTCATCATGACGGCATCATTGTTATCTGAGAAAAATTATTTACTCAATGAATGGAAAATGAAATTTGAATAGAAGAGTTAATTATTCAGAACTTTTTTTTCCTCCCTTTTTCACCATTATTGGGTACATCAACCTCACTTGTTTTCACCAGTTTAGGTGATTAATAAAATGATCATGACATTGACCAGAAAAACTTTGAAACTTTGAAACACTTTTCATTATTTGTTCTTGAAAAGATAATTCAACTTGGAAACAGTTTTTCTGTTTGATTGATTAAAAAGAGTGATACAATTGAACTGAACTTTTTATCTTGAAATTTTGTCTTCTTTTTTCCAATCGGAAGGGAATGTTGAATATTGAAAGTTGAAAAATTGCCTGAGAAAGTTCATGAAAGCGTAAAAAGATGAAAGATCGTTCTGGTTACTTGGGAGTTTCAGGTTGCAACCAAGAACTTGAAAAGGTTTTCATCATTATTTTTATTTCGGTAATCATGATGACAACTATTCTCTCATGATAATTTACTTGGAAAAAAGGTAAAAAGAAGCAATTTTTCTGTGTTCTTTTTTCACTTTTTCTAATGTTGTTTTGCTGTCGAAATGTTTGTGAAAATGAAAAATATTGAGTTTCAAGATGAAACTTATTACCAAGTATTACCATTATGGCAACGTTGACTGATGCTTGATAAACATGAGAATCATGAAAACTGTTTGCTTCCAAAAAGAGACAAACAAGAAACAGAAAAGGTTGAGAAAATTGAATTTATAGTCAAATTAATGGTGAAATCATTTTAGTGTAAAATTTTGATGGGCCAACTTTTAAAATTAAAAGTTATTCTTTTTCACTTTACTCTCTGTTTACTTGCAAATCAATCATTATTTTTACTATTTTTGGCCTAAAATTTTCTTCTTCTCGTCTTGTTGCAAATTAATTTCATGCCATTTTAAACATTTCCTGATTTACTTTTTACGATTCACAGTTTCTGTTTAAAAGGCTTCAACAAGCTCAATGATAAACAGGTAAAAATGAAAGTAAATTTTGTTGCTGTTTATTGGCCGTTCCAATGCATCAACTTTTGCTTTCCTGTTGGTTATTGTGATGACAATGATGGTAACCGCAATATGGGCTTAGCTTGCTGACGAAATGAAAGGTTTATTCATTGAGCAACTGAACTTCTGTTTGATCAAGAAAAGGTAAATAAAAGGTAAAGTATCGATCAGTTGGAAAGTAAATTAATTTTCAGTTGAGTTGATTGGCAAGATGATTGGATGAATGAGTGAAAACAAGACGGAGAGACCCTAGTGGTTGGGTGAGTTTGATGGGAAGAGGGTAACACTTCTAGGTTGCAACATTCCTCTTCATTGGCCTTCACTAGAGACTCGACTTGAAGGTTCAAGAAGAGGATCATGAAAATCATGAAGAAGAAGGTGAGGAAGAAGATGATTTATTTAAACCATTGCATCACGATTCTGTGGGTTTCATCAAGGTCATGAGGTTTTGGTATCCGGATGATCAATTTACTCAGTATTTTTCATCTAATTTTTGATCTTTTTTCTTGATAACAATCTTCAAGATTTAATGTCTTTCACTTTTTTCTAGGAAAATATTAAACTTTATCGCTGTAATCCCATGTACTGATTGGAAAGCTCAGATGATTGTTCAAAAATCAGATTCGTTTTTTAAGTTCATTTTTTGTTTCATTTTGTTGCCATTTTGAGGTTTACTTTTTTTTAAATCGCGCGCTTCTTTAGCTATTTCTACAGCAATGTTTGGTTAAAGGTTTTGTTGCTGTTTTCACAGCTGGGCTTTTTTTGTTTTCATTGGTTTAATTTCAATAAATTGCTTTTGTTTTCTTTACCTTTTTTTTGTTATTACAATTACTTTAACCATTTTACCTTTATTAGTTGATCAACAAATTTGTTAAATTGATTGATAGTTGGTTTTTAAAGTTGCGGTACAACTATCAAGGTAAGTGATTTGGGAGAGTTAACCTTAAAAGGTGTATAACATGTTTAACTAGTCTTTCGACTCTCTTTCTTTTTCTCTCTCTTTCTCTCTCTGGATTTTAAACCCAAAACCAGAAAAGATTAGGCCCAAGTCATTGGGTTTTTATTTTTGTCACTCTTAATATTTAATGACTAATTTTTGTTTATCCTATTTTCAAGAGTAATTAGACTTGATTTGGATTCAACTTTCGCTTCAAATCATCCATGATGACTGGATTGAAATCATGTTTCCTTTTTCAGAATTCATCTCATCGCTCTCTTTCCCTCCGCTCCTTCTGTTATATCTCTATGTACTGAATATTAAGTATATTGAAGATTCTGTTAGCATTTTCAACATTTGATATCTAATTTTTTTCTCTTCTTTTTCTTTTATTTTTATTTCTTTTATTAAATCAAGATTACCTAATCTTGATTTCTAGAATGATCACAAGGTCGATGTTCCCTAATGATGTCTCCAAATATACCTATCCGTTATTCAAGCAATTTCAACTTTCATCATCTTCAAGAGCCAAGCATGACTTTCCTTTGGTTTGCTCTGTCCAATGAAATTAACCATTAAACATCATGTGCGTTTCCACCACTATTCAGATACTCATACAAGATTTGACTGGTAGATGAATATATTTTTTATAATTATGTTTTGGGCTCTATCTGTGTGTAGGCTCTATCTGCATATCCAAATGTATTTATTCTTCTCATGCTGTGTTGATTGCCTTAATCTGTATCATGGAACTGTTTGATGTCAACTTAACCTTTCAAAGTTACTAGTCTAGCTGGACATCTCAACATATTATTAATCAAGCAATCAATCAGTGTAGTTACATTAATACATGGACACAGGCGAAAGAGATGGAAGAAGTGAAGAGACGAGGCAAAGGAAAAAGTGGAAAGGAAATAATCTCATTTCGAGTCGAAAGATTTTTGGAGATGATATTTATTGCATAAAAATAACCAGAACCAATAAATCAATAGTTGAGGCAATATGGGCAATGTTGATGGTGATGAAGGCGATGAAACCAATAAAATGGCTGGATCAAAATTCGTATCGAGAAGTTTAATCGCAACACCGAGACAGAAAAATGGCAAAATGTGAATCAATGATAGTGGATCAATTTAAATTATTGACTATTATACACTTTACGAGTGAAGGCAACAACCCAAGAATATCAAAGATCTGGTGATTTAATCATTTCTGTAATTATTAACTTCATCTATCAACTCTAATAATTTCCACTTAATTGCTCATTAGACTGCCATCTATAACAATTGGTGCAACATAGCAATTTATTTCAAGACAAGTTATAAACAAAAGGTGAAAAAGGACAAGCTCGTAACCTGAATTGATAGGGACAATTTCCTCATGAACTATGGTGAACAAGATTAAAGTGTCTTCAACCAGCAATGGCAATCTAAAGAATCTTGGATATTAACAATTGATGAAACAATTACTAAAAGATCGATAATGGAAAGATTAACAAGATGACATGAAGATTGGTTGGACATGAGCAAAATTTTTTAACATTTTACCAAAAATGGATTCTCAAAATGACTTTGAGCAAAGAGAGGGGAATAAAAGATGGCGATGGTGAAAAAGAGTCAGCGAGGATGATGAATAGAGAAATTAATTTTGTGAATTTCATTTGCTGTTGAAATAATCTTCCATCCAGATTAATCTCATACTCATTTGAATACAAAATTGGAGAGGAAAGCCAAAGCAGTGTGTCATGTAGTCTTTCAAACAACTATATTTTTCCTGTTGCAGGGTAACACCAATTAGATGTTTTTTTGTTATATTTATTAATAGAAGTGAATAGTTGTGTTCATGTTACATATTACCTCCGAAAAAAAGAAAGAAAGAGAAACAGGTAAGAGAAGATAGGAAAAGAAATCAATGATTGTTATAAAAATATCAATTCCCTTCATGATGAGTTGAATGTTACTGGGAATCCATTTTATTCAAGTTCAAGGTTAAAGCAAGGATAATGGGAGAGCATAGTAACAGAGTAACATTCTCATTCTCTTTCCTCTTCTCTTTCTCTCACCTTCATTATCATCTTAGCTCTTCCTTTCATCTTCTTCCTTTCTTTTTTTTCTGCTCTCTTTTAGTCAAAAATCGATATCAACCAATGCTTTTGGGTTGCCAGAATTAACACTGTTTCTATGGTTCACATGAATTTCCACCAACACAGGGAAAAGCTGGAAGCAATCAAGACTGTCGAAAGACAATTTAGACACAACTCTTTTCCCCTCATCCTCCTGGTAAGTTCAATATTTTACAAGAAGAAAAAAAGAAATTCGTTTTTTTCTCATTTCTGTCGTTTCTTTTCTTCCAGTCTTTCCACTTTTTCAAAACTGATGACTTACTTTTCAATAATTTAATGGTAAATTCATGATGGCAACCAAATGAAGATAAATTGTAATTGTTAAAGTAAATGAGCAAGGTGGTTAAGATTGTCGGGTAAACGGGCAGCACAAGGCACTATTGGTCAGTGACATCTTCATCTCATAATTAAAGTGTTTACTGGTTGAGAGGTAAACATTGATCATGATGGAAGGCCCATTAAAGATGAAAATGTAGCAACCAGAAAAGTATAATACATTTATTACAATATAAATATATATTTATATAAAAAGTAGAGAAAAAAAAGAAAATTTTCTTTTTCTTTTCATCTTTAAAATGTAACTGGACTCATCCATCAACATCTATCAGCCTTTACAACTTACAATATTCACTTCATCATCATCATCATTTTACTTCTTATTCTTATCATCATCTTCATTGGATCTTACCTTTTAACTTTTTTTTCTCACAAAAGTCTATTTTACAATTTCCTCTTCAAGGTCATCATCATTAATTTCAAAAGGTGAAAAACATTCTTCTCTCTCTCTCCTCATCATTTCATGAGCATCTTCATCTACACCTTTACATGTTCGCCTCTTTATCAGCTTCTGTTGATCACTTTGACTTGCAATGGTTGATTCTCATGAATTTAAAACAATTTTCTCTCTCTCTCTCTCTTTTAATTTCCTCCAATGAATCCCATGTTAGCAACATTTGACTCTTGCCCATAATCACTTACAACGCAAAAGGTTCAGTAATCAGTGAAGCCCACCCCACCAACAGTAGCAATTAAAGAGCACAATCAATTTGGATCTAAATTAATATCTCAACAGGTAACATACTAATCACGTTCACTAATCGTTTTACAATTTATTTTTACCTTTTATTTTTTTTTCTTCTTTGCACAACATTAACCTCAAAACAGCAAGTAAATGAGTACTCACAGAGAGAGCGAGGCAAAAAAACATGAAAAAACAACAAAAAAAAAGTTAAAGAGCAACAAGATAAAAAGTAATTAATAAATGCATTTGTAGGTAGAAGGTGAATGTTGAACAAAAGCATTCCCTCAACATGAATTATCTGGGCTAAGAATTGAAGTGAACGAGTAAATAATACAGTTGAAATGTAACCCTCATCATTAACTTGATCAACATTAGCATTCCCTGTGATTCATGTCTTCAGAGTAACCTTGAATAAATCTGATTCGGAAGTTGCAAAAATTGCAAGTAAAAGGCTGAACAAGATCAACTAATAGGGAAACTAATAATGCTACTTGAACCCGTAAACAGTAACAAGAAAAGCCTTTAGCCTCTCAACAATTTTTTTTCATCTTCTTCTTCTTTCTCTCTTCATGGTTGATCAATATTTTTACAGATTTGAATAAGATTGAAAAGCTGTTAATATTGAAGGTTCAAGGTTGATCAGTTTAATATACATTATAATATCCCAAGTAAATAACCAGAATTGAAGAGTTCAGAGAAGAAAAATTTTTCTAAATGAAAAAGATAAACAAAGTTCAATTTTTTCCTTATTCCCGGTGAATCATGAACAGTTGAACAATGAAAATGAATGCAGAGTGAACCTGAGACCTATACTAAAAATAGCAATTCTAATGCAAAATGCTGTCCAGAAATGATGAATTTTTTGTTTTCTCTTTGCTCAACTTCATTGAAACAATTGACCATCTTTTGACGATTGCTTCTCATTAGATGCTCCATGACAATTGATGCAAGTTTTGAATCTTTATTAATCTCTATTGAACCTTAATCTTTTAAACTTTTCCCTGAACAGTAAATGTTTGTAATCATCTTAACATGTTAAGCAGATTTGATTATGAATTTGTGCTTGAAAAGATTCCCGTGATAGTCGAGTTTCTCATTCGATTATCACTGAATGAAGAAATATTAATAAAACTGATGCCAATGTTAATCTTCTTTAAACAGCTTTCTCCATCCTTTTTTGATTCCTCCTCATCTTGTCTACTTTTTGTTTCGCAGTTACTTTTTATTCATATGCATACATCACTCAGCACGAGATGAAGATTACAACAGTGAAAGGCTGTTCGATAAAGATGAAGCAAAAGCAAAGTTTGAAGCAAACATTGCTTTTCATTATTATCTTCATCTTACCCTGGACTCACTCCCCTTTATCCTCAGCTTTATCTTTGTTTCTTCTTCTGCTTCCACCTTCCACTAACCAGGCATCAACTGGCCGTGTGTCTATTCAACTATCTAAATGTCTATCTGTTTGTGTGTGTCCAGCGACAACTCAACGGATATCATTCGGAGGGTCTGTTTGGTTCTTTGAAACACTAAACCTTTTTGCTTTTTTTCAGACTTTGCTTCTTCTTCTTCTTGCGTTCATCTCTGTTTCCTTTGCCTGTCCACTTCAATGAATCTCTTTTACAGTCCAAATTATCACCCAAAATAATCTTCTGGCTTGACAAATACAACATTTTCAAGAGTAAAACTCATTTTGTTAAACTCTGCAAGCCTAAGTACCTTTGATTAAATGGTCTCACCTTCGTCCTTTGCATACTTGTTAAGGCACATGCAAAGTCTCTCAGTTGCTTGTCAAAATCAGAATCACTGTGTTATTTTTTTTAATAAACATTGATAAGTATTCATCAAGTTGAAAGATTATCAATGAAATTACCTTTTTTCATTTATGCATCCATTGGTAGCCTCTTCTGTTGATTGTTTATCGCTATACAAGAGATTCTGTTTGTCGATTGTTGCTGCTGTTGTGATGATAAAGAGGAGGATGAAAGAGGGAGGAAAAGGATAAAGTAAATAAGTAGAGGGAAGATGAAAACAGAAAAGCCTGATTATTCGAGTTGATAGATTTTTTTCCACTTTTTTCTTGTTCGATGACAATAATGAACATTTATCGACTGATAGCCAGTGCAAGATGGCTCAACATCCCAATTATCATTCCTACCAATACAATGTTTCTCCCTATTTCTCCTACTCACCTATTATCTACATAATATTTATCTTCTTTTCTCTTTTTCCTCCTCATCCCTAACCATTATCATTCTTTCTGTTTCATTTCAACTCTGAACATTAAACAAGGTCAGCTCATTTTGGCTCTTCTCTCCTTCCTATCAGGTTAACAAGGGAACCACTTATATTGAGCTCGACTGTATATTGCAGTTGAACAGCAAATCAATTGGAAACATTTGCTTGTCACTAATAAGAGATGATGATGAGGAGAAGAGAAAAAATTCATCAATGAATATTCAGCTTTAATGAAAAAAGGGAGAAAAAGAGAAAAATGTTTTCAATAGAAGAAGAAGAAAGAAGGCAAAACTGGATAACAAACGGAAATAGAAGAATGAGAATAATGTGTCGTCAGGATAAGAACGGGTAGGAACATTAGCTGAGCACAATGGAAGAACGGAAAGAAGAGAAGATGAAAATTGATGATAAAAGGCGAGAGAAAGAGAAGGGAAGAGAAAGAGAGAGAGAGAGAGAAAGATGAAAAAGAAAGAGAAGGTTCAAGTACACTTTTGAAAGGCAAAGGCAGCAAAAAAACAAAAATATTGAGCAGATGGTTTGGAAGCGTTATAACATGATTGAAGCAGTAAATGTACACACACATTAATGTTGAATACAACAAAAAAGTCGCTAGCGAAATGTCATCTGAATATCTCACAGAGAGTAAAGAGAGATTATTTGCTTGCTGTCCTTTCACCAGATTTAGATCTATTATTCATTCATCATGAAGAGGAGGGGAAGATTAAAGATGAATACAAGAAGGAATATTTTTTTACAAGTAATTCTCTATTGAATGGTTTTATCAAAATGGCTTCATTTTTTGGTGTTTCCAGAGGCAAATGAGAGAAATTTTAGATTCGACAAAAATCTGCTTTTCCATTTTTTCAGTTTACATTTTATCTCGCACGTTTCCCAAGCCTTATGGGGTTCAATTTTGCAACCTAACAGAGTCACTCTTTTCCCATTAAACAAAACATGTAATTGGACTCTTACGTAAAAAATTTTCATTTCCATTTTCATTATCGTTCCATGATCTCATGTCCATTTACAGCATTTTTCTCATCATCTGCATCTTTATTTACATCATCATGTTCATCATCTTTCATTGATGATTTTTTTTCATCATTACCAGGTCGGGTTTGGGAGGCTGTATGAGGCAAGTTTTGGCAACCTAACAGAGTCACCCTTTTCCCATCAAACAAGGCTTCTAATGAGGGTCTTTACGTGAAATTTTTTCCACTCTCATCATTCTCATTGTAATTTGAATCTCCTTCTTATTTTTTGCTTTTTTTTCATTGTAACCAGGTCGAGTTTGTTGGGCTTCACAAGATTACTTTTTCAACCCAAGAAAGTGACTCTTGTTGCACTGCACAACATACAATGAGGCCTGTTTTTACGGGTAAAAATTTAGTCCTTCTCATCGTTATTTATTCGAAAATTGGAAAACATTTTATCTTCATTCATTCTTGCCTTGACTTTTGTTATTCAAATCAAATGTGATGATAATTTTTGCCTTCTTCTCATGACCATTGACGATGATGATAAATATGCAAAAATATATATTGATGATGCATTTTTTTGTGTGTTCACTGACAAACACGCAACTCTCTCAGGTCACCAAACCTTTCATATAATATCTTATACATCATCATAATCATTCTTTCTGTCTTTTTTCCTTCTCTTATGGAATTTTCATTTACATCACAGATTTACTGTCGATAACTTTGCCTCTTTCTTTTTCCCTTTCCATTCCCTTTTTCATCCTCTTCCTAACCAATCAATATATCGAACGAGGATATTTTTGAACCATTTTTTCTCTCTTTTATTCGCCAATATCAGATACAAAGTTGAATAGCAAAACTTGAAAAAGAAGAAAAATGTCAGAGAAAAGAGTAGTTTTTACATTGAAAAACTTTTGTGCTGAGAAGATGAAAAGATGAGGATGAGAAAAGGAAAAAGTCAAAGTAAAACATTAAATGATTCATAAAAAAAACTTAAGTGTATTACATGGAAGAAAATGTTGAATTATTTTTGATATTTTGTGAACTCTTTTCATTCTCATGCTCATTTTCATGTTGAAAGTGCACTTTGATCAAACTGTTGGCATTAATGCCTTTTAATGGTGTTTCATTCATTCCTTTTGTTTTCTTTTCAATCTTCATTAAATCATTTTAAATCAACTGCACATGATTTACCATTACCATCATTATCATCATCATCATTAATAATCAACATAATTGTTGAACTTTACCAATGATTTGAGGGTAAAAAAAAGAGAAAGAAAAGGAAAGCAAAGTTGGTAATAAAACGTCACAAGAAAAGCAATGAAAAGTTGTAAATCTCTGTTCAATTTGAAAGCTTATAGAGTCATTTGTTTTTCTTGTGCCAATAACAAGGTAAAAATTAAATGGTCAATGTCATGTAATAATTTAAAGCTCTCTGTTTTATTCACCTTTGAATAATCAATAGTTCAATAAACATTTCATTGTTGACTCTCCACTATCATTTCAACAATTAATTTTCTCTGTTTTTTTTCTTCAGGTAATTCAACATTCGATGCATTAAACATTGAAACGTTTGCTTTAGTTTCTCTTACCTTGACCAAATAAACACTCACTGCCAATGAACACTCATGAAATATGGTAAATATCAGGTTCAACTAAAGGTTAAAGTTGATTATTACATCAGCATTTTACCTTTAACCTGCAAAAAGTTGACCAAACCTTTTTCTTTCCTTCTTTACCCATTTTCCCATTTGGATGCTGTTAACAACCTGATTTTTAATCTTTACTCAGTCCACTTTCAAAGCTTTGTGTGATAACCATTTACTTGGCTAATTTTGTCTACCATTGGGTAAACTTGATTCTTGTTGTTGCCCGTTTCTGGTAGTAAGTCTAATCAGTAACAATGGTCCCAGGTCTTTGGTGTACCGTGGGCTTTGATGGCTTATCAGCCATGGAAAAGATGAAGTTGAGTGAAAAGTACGATGCAAAGAAAAGGACCAATTCTCCACCCTTGACCCTCTGCCTTCTCCCTGCCCTTGTTGATCCCTACTATGTTCAGCTTGTTTTCCTTTTCTCTTTTTTTTCTTTCTTTTCTTTCTTTTCTTTTCTTCAGTTCTTATTATTTTTTCTTCTTCTTCTTCGCCATCATCCATTGGCTTTCTTGGCCTTCTTTTCAACTTATCATAAACAAGCAACAGGCAACTCAGCAATAACAGCTCAAGATATTGATGTTGATGATAATATTGGTTCAACTGTAAAACCAGAAAAGGTAAAAAGCTCAAGTTAATAGTTCAAGTTAAACTTTCATTTTGAATAATACTTTTCATTTTTTTTAAAGCTTCTGAATAATCCATGATAATAATAGTAATTCATTCGATAATTAGAATGGTAAGCACGAGTTGAATTGTGATTACAATTCAACTTCTCTTCTCTTATTCTCTTTCATTTTTCATCATCATTATCTTCTCTTGCAACTTTGACAGGTCAGACTTTACCTTTCAAAGCTAAAAAGCTTTACCATTTATATCATCATCAAAGTACATTAAATTATTGATTAACAAGATTCATCTGATTCTCATCATAACTCAATGACAGGTTGCGTTTTTTTCTGTCGCTAAATGCAACTTCTGTTGATTTCATCTTTTCTGGAATGACTCACAAAACTTCAAACATAAATGCAAGACTCAAAAAAGAGACTAAAATTTCAATGTTAATTTGCGGAATCGAAACATTTGACAAGAGAGAAAAAAAGAAACAAAAAAAGACTCTTGACCCTGGAAACTGTGATCAGATTATCAAGAGAGACCGTCTTTTATGGACCCAACGGTTCGCCTTTTCAGGTTCACCTCTCATCGTCTGTGACTGGATGCGACGAAGGCAAAGACTGTAGATTATTAAAAGATGCAAGTTGAAACTCATAATACAAGTTACTTGTTGAAATGAGCATTTTATTTTTCACTCAGCTTAGTGTGATAAGTGAAAGGAAAAGAAGCTTTAAAAAGCGTTAAAAACACATTTTTACATTGCCCGAAGAATGATGATGATGATGATGAAGATGAGGATGAATTTTTGAGGGAAAGGAAAGCGCAATGCAACCTTTCAACAGAAAAAGAGAAGAAGAAGAAATGAAGAGAATATTAGAAAGAAGAGCCAGGATAAAGTGGTTTTAATGTCATCATTTTCCATCATCAGCATCTCCTCATTGATCCTCATCTTTTCATCTCTATCATTATCATCACCGTCATAATCACCATCAGAGTCATTATCATCTTTCCCTTTAACCTTAGTCCTTGCAGTCTCTTTCTCTCTCTCCTCTCTGGCTGTGTCACAACGGGCTTCTCTATCCTTCTTGTAACATCCTTTATCCCATTCACTTCCCTCAGCCCAGTGGCCTTAGGGTCACACAAACACTCACATTCACTGGTATCCACCAAATGTTCATCTAGTAATTGCTCTTTCCTTCTTTGACAGTAAATCATTATTTTTCATTCGCCAATCTACCATGAATTTTGGCCAATAAAGAACAGGAACAAAAAAAAGAACGTCGAAAAGTTGAAAGCAAAAAGATGCAAAAGCAAGAAGCAAATTTCAATATTATTGTTCATTTTAATGGATCCAATTATTGAGTTAACATTTACAATGAATCCCTTTTGCCCTTTTGCTTTACAGAAACAAGAGTCTGCATGAACAATACGGAAAAGGGTAAACAAGAGAAAAGCAAAATTTCATTTTCTTTTCACAAAAGTTTCAACTTTGAATTTCAAAGAACAACACATTTCGTCCAATCTTGTTTGATATATTTAGATGCGTTTCAATGGTCGAAAATGCTCTTTGAGAGTTGATCAGTTTTTGTCAACTTTCATTTGATTGGAAACATTTTCAACTCGATTGATCAAGAACGTTATTTTGGGTTGGAGAACGGGTTAAAGTTGACACTGAATGCCTTCTTGGTATTGCTTTTATTGCTCTTTTTTCAGAGAATTTTGTTTATTCTTTTCTTATTCCAGGCTTTATCTTTTATTTCACGCTCAGCGGTTATGGTGTGCAGATATGGAGTTATGTTTCTTGAAATTGTGTCATTTGATGGAAATGCATTTATATTTTTGTTTACAAATTTCTTGTCAACAGCTTCGATGGAAAAGGTTTGCTTATTATTGCTTTCCATTAGGTGAATACAATATATACTTTCCATTGACAAGAATAAATTAACAGTATTTTTTGCCTCTCTTTGCATAATTAAATGTTATAATTAGCAACAGCAAACAGGCATTTCTAATGACTTTCAATTCTGATTAAATTTTCACGAATCAATTGTTACAGTGTTGATGAAAACACAGTGAAAGATGTTTGCTGGTTTACAACCAACAAAACAAAACAAAACCAGTAACCAGAGAAAACAGCTGATGTCTATTCGTGACAATCACTCAACTGACGTAAAACCAGAAAATTGAAAATTCGAACCAAAAAATTCAACTTTAAAGTCAATTTTCTAACCTAACCCAACCTAACCTAACCACCGAACTTGGTGATTTCCAATTTTTGAAATCATTTGACGAAAATGAATTCTTGCAACTCATAAGTGTCCAAACATTTCTTGTTGCCATGATCATCGCAATTACTGCTGATGGTAAAGCTGAACCATCACTTGAAACACTGATTCATGTTAATCAAAATGACATTCATTGTTTGCTTTTGATTGCGTCAATGATGAAAAGATAAAGCAATTTCTATGAAAAGAGTTGCTGGTCAGCAAGTGTCCTTCATGTGGTCACCATGCTATCATTGATACAATTATTTAGTCTTTAATCAAAGTTGATTAAACGACAGGAAATGACTCAAGGCCAGGTAAACATGTTTGCCTAAATGTTCAAATTTCCGATTCACATGTTGAACCTCTGTTGTTGAGTGTGTAAAAAAACAATCTGAGCTAAGGTAGTAATTTGCTGCTGCAAGTTCAAGCATCATTTGCAATATACTCATTTGGTTCCCTCATGAAATTCATCATAGCGTGCCAATGGGTTTTTGTTTGTAACTGTTTTGCCCTTCACGGGTAGACTTGCTTTTTTTGTGTGTTTCACTTGTTTCCATTTCTCTCTCTCTCTCACTCTCTTGAGCCAAAAGGTTGTTCAACAAAAAAAAGAGATAAATTTGTATCACTATTGTATTATTATTATGAAATGTCTGAGTCTGAACAAATGATAGATTAAAGTGTAATCATTGTTGATTTAAATGAACTTTTGTTTGGTAATGGTTCTTTTTTGTTTTATATGTAATTATTTATTCATTTAAATGATGGCGAAAGGCAATTGCATTGTGTTTATCACTTTGTCTGAATTATCATGAAAGACAACAATTATCCAATGATGATATCCTTTATACATTTTTTTGTCTTGGGCTTTCCATTTTTTGCTTGCTCAAGTGACAATCGACTGGTTCATTGTTGCCTTTTTTCATAATTGCTACTTCAAACTTGGAATAGGTTGGAATGCTTGGAATATGAAAATGGCGAAAATGTGGCGAAAATTGGATGACAAAAAGATAAACTGTTAATTGGTTCTAAACTATACTTTGATGATGATTGTCATGAGAGGACATTTCTTTTTCCTTCCATCCATTGAATTCCTTGTCAATCAAATCATGTTTGTTTGGTAAATCTAAGGTAATTGGTCAACAAACAAGAAAAAAAAAGTTTATCGATTGAAGCTGGTTCAGTTCTGTCTCCACATTTATGATCAACATTTCGTATCATTGTTCATGAAACTTCATTTTCTTTTGGCTTTTCAATTCCAAAGAATTGTGTGAAAGTTGATTTTTTCGCAAAAATTCATCTGTTTGAATCAAACTCATTTGTATAATTATTCAACTAGTCTCACCTTATTGCCGTGAGAACAACAATTGATGAGACTCAAGCAAATGCGCTGACTTGCAAATGATTGCGGTTGATGGAAAGGTTAAGTTGATTTGATTTTAATAAACATTTCAAAATTGAACCAAGATTAATGTTGGTTTTCATTTAGGCTTCAAGTTTTATCATTGGCTTATTTTGCATTATTATTTGATGATTATCTCGAGGATAAAAGGGTAACAATCACAGCTGGTAAAGTTGTCTTTGACATTTAAAGGAGCCGAGATTTATGTCCATTGACGGTTGATTTAAAATTGAATGCCACTCATTGAGTTACTTTGTGTTTAAAAATTGATTAAAATTTTCATGTCGGTTTATAAAGTTTAATGAAGCAAAAGGTTCATTAAATGATAATTTTTTGCATCATTATTGTAACCAAAAGGTCAAAGAGGAAAGAATCGAGTTTTTAAATGAACCTTTGGACAGATGATCAGTCCAAAGGGAATCATGGGTTTGTCTTGCATAATGACAACAGTAAATGTGAAATTATTGAAACTCTGTTTGAGTGTTGACCAGAGGTTCAGATGAATCGATATCTTGAGTTTTTTCTGTTATTACCATTGAGCTCATCAATCTTTGGTTTGCAACTGAAATGAAATTTTATACATTTTCATTTAACAAACAGA